AAATAAATATAAAAAAAAAGCACTCTCAAAAAAAAAAAAAAAAAGAAAGAAAAGAAAATTACTTAATTTTTAAAAACCCATGGGGCCAGAGAGATAGCTCAGCAGACTAAAGTGCCTGCTTAGGCAAGCTTAGGCAAGTGCAGGGACCATGGTTCAATCCCCAGCACCATAAGCCAAACCACCCCACCCCCAGGGTGGGCTGAGCTGGCCACAGAAAAATACTATGTTTACTTCTTAAATGTTCTGTAATACTGGGGATTAAAACTAGAAGCTCACATATGATTAGCTAAGTGTTCTACCACTGAAACCTAGTTTCTTGTTTGCTTTCATTTTTGTTTTTGTGTTGTTTTGTTTTGTTTGAGTCAGGGGCTCACTAAGTTACTGCCTGGCCAGGAAGCTGTGATACTCCCATCTGAGCCTGCCTCCTGAGGAGGTGGGATTACAGACATGCACCACCCTCCTCAGCCAACACACATATATTATCTCATGGTTTCCATGGGGAGCCTGGGCACTTTGGCTTCAGCGTCCCTGCTTCATAAGACTGCAGCCAAGGTGTCAGCAAGGCTAGGCATCCCATCCCAGCCTCAATCGGAGAAGGCTCTACTTTGAGTTCACAGAGTCATTGGCAAAATTTCAGCTCCTAGAGGCCTGATGGCTGAGATGTCACAGTCCTTGGCCAGCAGTCACCCTCAATGCCTTGCCCTTCTAGCATGGCAACTTGCTTGCATCCAAACCACTGAAGTCACAGCCTTAGGTAACCTGATCGCGGAAGTGACCTGACTGCCTGTTCTCCTCACTAGAGTCAACCAGGGCCCCACCCACAGCTCAAGAGGGTAAATGACATGAAGGCATAAATACCAGGAGGCAGACATTACTGGGAGACTTTTTGGAAGTTGCCCACCACATTGTTTTATTCTAAAACTTTCTCTGCATTTTCCGTCACATCAGGCTTACTCTATAGGTAAGACCACGGATTTCATTTTTGGCCAGAGGCTGAAGGAGAATTTTAGGAACAACCTACCCACTGTAGGCAGAGGACATAGATACCCATTTAGCCGCCGTGACCCATAATACCTGTCTCCTCAGTCCTAGTATTCATGAATTTATCCAAAAATTGGATTATATTTTATAGCATGGTCTGAGCATGAAACCAGATCCCAGTTCTGTTTTCTTCTGTCCTTGGGAAATAGATTGGCTTTTTCTCTTTTCAGAAACTATATTTCTAGCTCCAAGGAGAAATCTTGAGTTCTGGGGACAGTGAAGGCTTCATTGTCCTAGCCCAGGAAATGGAAGATCTGCTTCTCAGCAGAGCCACCTCAGTTTCCCTGTAGGGAAAGTCAGGGTGTTGGGCAAGATGATCACTGAGCAAGGCAATCCTGTTCTAACATGTTGAGGGCAAAACTGAACTGGCATACCCTAGAGCTACGCTATTTCCTATGGTAGCCACTGGCTGCATGTAGCTGCTCAGCACATGAACCACAGTCCATCCAAACTGAGATTTGCAGGGCTGGCTGCATAGCTCAGTGGATTAAAGCCCCTGCTTAGGCAGATACAGGGACTGGGGTTCGATCCCTGGCATCTGTGCCAGCCCTGCCTCCAGGGTGTGCTGAGACAGTAACTAAGACTGGGTGTGGTGCTGCATACCTCTAATCCCAGCACTTGGGAGGCTGAAAACAGAAGGATCACTTTGAGCCCAATCTATATAGTGAGACCCTGTAGGCCCTGTACAAAAAAAAAAAAAACAAAAAAACCAAAAAACCAAAAATCCGAGATTTGCTATATCTAGGTGGGTAGGCAGAAATCTAAACTGATGCCAGTGACCCGCACCTCTCTATACAATCTCTTCCTTAAGTAGGAAGAATTCCATAAATGTGTTTTACCACATGAAGGAGGCTGCTGTGGTGGGCATAATTAGGTGGGCTTTTAGAAAGAGATGTTTTTCTTTGGCTGATTATAAAAAAGGAAGTCAGCACTCTGGCTTCCCTGAAAGCAAGCATCCATCTATGTCATGAACTGTCAAGGGAACCCTGTCACAAGGCAAGGAAGTGCAAGTGCTTTCTAGGATCTGCCCCTGGTGAACAGCAGACAGCAACAAAAAGAGACCTCAGTCCTACACAACAAGGAGTTGAATTCTGCCAACAAAATATGAGCTTGGATGATAGTCCCAATCTCTAGGGCAAAACTTCAACCCTAGCCAACATCTCAGCCCTAGCTTGGTGAGACCCTCACTAGGAAAAAATCTAGCCATGCTGTGCCCAGACTTCTGACCTAGTGAGATAATAACTCTGTATTGTTCGAAGCTGTACCACTGTGACAATTTTTTTTTTAAAAAAAAAAAAGGGGGGCAGAGGTGGCTGGGGAGATAGCTCAGTAGAACAAGCGCTTCCCTGGCAAGTACAAGGGACTGAGTTCAATCCCCAGTTCTACAAAAACAAACAAACAAATAAAAAAGAAAACAACTAGAGGCCAATGAGATAGCTCAGTGGGCTAAAGCATCTGCTTAGGCAAGCACAGGGATCACAGTTAGATCCTGGGCACCACACGCTGTGCCAGCCCCACCCCAGGGCTGGCTGAGCTGTCCACCAAAAAAAAAAAAACAAAACAAAACAAAACAGAAAACTAGTGTATTGAATTTCATAAGCTTAGTATAAAAATAAATATGTAAATACCTCATTAATGGTCTATGGTTTCATGTTCAAATTAAACATTTTAGATATATTGAGTTGTTAAATTGTTATTGTTTCATTTTACTTTTGTAAAAATATTGCTGTGCTAGGAAATTTCTAATCACATAGATCTATTGACCTAATTATATTTATATCTATTGGACAGTGCAGGCATAGGGGACTGCAAGTCAACCTCTGACTCTGTGCCTACCACTGTACCACCAGTGCCACACAGCCAGCCACATGACTGTAGGCAGTCACAGTTCTCAAATGTTACCTCACCTGTCTCACAGATACATCCCCAGTAATACGGGGCCCTGTACTTTACCCAAAGTAGGTGCTCCACCATGGCTGGTAACTGCTTTCTAGTCAAGACATGATTTGTGAAGTCAGCCAGTCCAGGTTCCGGTCTTCAGCACTTTCTCCCCAACCTGCACACAGCTGCCACTTAAAAGCTTGCAGGATCACAGTGCTTAAGAAATTCTTTCTCCCAAGCCCTCACCACTCTCTTGGAGGTGGGAATCGGAGCTCCAAGGGCAGGGGAAGAGACTCAGGGGCTCAGCAGAGCCAGACTTGAGGGTGCTCAGGCCCTCCCTCCCTAGCTCCTAGATTCAGATCCCTGCAGTCAGAGCAAGTGCCTAGGCTTGGCATGTAAAACACAGAACACAGAGCCTATTCCCCACACGGTGGTCGCACCATGGAGGTCGCTGGAAAGACTGAGATTCTGAAACCCTGCTTGATGTATATTAAACACTCAACTAAGCAAACCATTAATACCTGTCCTGGGCCACAGGATGAAGCCCCTCTCTAGAAAGGCTCCCGTTTCCTTAAATGACCCATCCCTCTCAGGTCCCTGAATTGAGGGGGAAAGCCGGCTGCTGGGCCTTCCCCAGACATCTCCACTCCCCCACCGGAGTCAGGAATAGAAACCACCGCCTCCGGCAGTCCGCAGCCTCCCTCCCTTCCCCGGCAGCGATCGATGCGGCCTCAGCGGTGAGGGACAGAGGAACACAAGGAAGGCGGGGGCGCGGGGCCTCCGGCAGCAGCGAGGTGCGGTAGGGCCAAGGGGCAGACAAGCTCAGCGTTTCCCCAGGCTCAGCGCCTTTGGGGACAGAGGCAGGAGCCGTGCGCCCAGGAGGAGCCCAGGCAGGTAAGGGGCCCCCCTACTGGAGAGGTGTGGCCGGGCTGTGAGAGCAGGAGGTGGGGTCTTCTGGGTTCCAGGTGCCTTCCCCCCACCCCCAGCAGACAGCCCAGGAAGCAAGGTGGGGTGGCTGCGCTTTGAGGACACTGGGGTTGGTCCTTGTCCATCTGTAAAATGGGACTAGAAAACTTTGAATGAGATTAGGGTTTACACCATCAGGAATGGATCCTGTATGGAGCTCACCAAAGTAACCAGCAGGTAGCAGGTGCTCAAAATAAGTGTCAGGAAAGGCTTGCTATAGAAAGCCTACTTTGTAATCTTCCTTGGGGTATGGACTAGCTGCTTGACTTTGAGCAAGTTGCTCTTTCTTACTGATGTTCAAATTCTTGTCGGGAAATATTTGTTGAATTAATTAATACATTTCGTGGAGCAGGAAAGCGAGTTCCAGACAGGTGAAGGGACTGGCTGGAGATTGTGCTTCTGATGGGTGATGGAAGTGGATTAGAAACTATCATTCAGAGTCAGACGCGGGGGGAGGGTACAGCTGCATCACACACATTTCCCGGGTGCCCGGTTAGTCACGTGCCAAGGACTTACACTGCCAGTAAATACCAGGCATCATTTAATCCTCGTAGATGCTCCTGGAAGGTACAATGTTATCTGGTCTGCGGAGGGTGAATCTGAAGCTCGGAGGAGACTACGGATCCACTCAAGGTCAACAGCTAGTGAGTGGCAGACTGGAGTGCAACTCGGGTCTGACCACAGGGAAAACAACCAATTAACATTAACTGATCACCCATTGGGTTCCACAGGTTTTGCACACATACTCATGATAACACTTTATCCAGAGTGCCATTAGCCCCATTCTAAAGATAAGTGAGTTAAGCCCAGAGTAAGGGAATGGCCTGGGGATGCACAAGTCAGAGAGGCAGGCATGGAGTCCCAACCCACTGAACACCAAGCTTAGTTTATTTGTTTTTTTTTTTTTTTTTTTTTTTTTTT